GGGGGGGGGGGGACCCCTCCAACGATATCGCTCTTGATTTAAAAGAGCTTGTGATGATTTTAGGCATAAAAGCTGGGTTTGGTCTTAAATCAGCTTAACTACCGTCAGCCTGGATTCTGAGATATGACGGAGCGACAAAGAAGGCAGATAAAAACACTCACTCTCTTAGCGGGTGTTAAAACCAGCAGCAGTGCTGTTTAAAGAGACAAGAATTTAAGTGGAACCTGATCCAAAGGCTCAAATGAAGCTTTGATCATGACCTGCAGGACCAGTATTAAATCCCACTGGAAACAATTGGGTGTGGGACAGACCTGCGTCTCTGTACACCTTTTAGAAAATGTTTCATCAGAGGATGATAAAACCTGTTCTGTCTCAGAAACCTTCATGTCAGGAAGAGATGGCTGCAGCGTATGTTTTAAACGTGCTGGATGCAGATTTCTATCCATCAGCTGCTGCAGAAAGGACAGCATGCCACCTAAAGAACATGAGGAGGCCTCTACATCCTTCTCTGTACGTCAGCACTGAAAAGCTGTCCGCTTTGATGTGTACATCGCTGTGGTAGATGCAACACGTGAAACCTGAATTGTGCGCATTACATCCTGTGGGCAACCCGTCCTCTGTAAGAGGATTTGTTCAACGGCCAGACCACAGGTGCTGGCCTATTTCTGGGTAACTCCTGATCGCTCCTCCTGCTTGAAGGAGAGCATCCTCCCTCCACGGCAGTTTCCACGGGCACTCCGACAGCAGACGTTTCAGGACTGGGAACTATGGTGCACCCACGCGCACGGGGCCACCAGGAGAACTATCAATCCCTCCTCCTGAGCTCGGTTCAAGAACCGTAAGATAGGAGGGGGTGGAGAGAAACGCATACAGAAGCGTTTTGGGCCATGGACTGTGAACAAACGCATCCACTCCCAGAGGTGGTTCGTCTCATGGGCTCAGAGAAGCGCGTAATTGACACTGAGCGTTTCCCATGTCACAACAGGCCCACAGCCGCTATATCAATCTGAGACAAAATGCTCCATCAGAGGATGATAGAAGTTGTTCTGTCTATGACAACTTTGAGACAGGAAGAAAACACGGTGGCAGCATACAATAGTCGTGCTGGACACCAGATTTTTGTCCCTCGGCTGCTGCAGAAGGACAGCATGTCGTCCAATGGACATGAGGTGGCCTCTACGCCTTTCTGTACAGCAGCGTTGATCAAACAGACCACTTGGTGTGAACAGCGCTGTGGTGGGTGCAGCACGTGACTCCTGAATCGTACGCACTACATCTTGAGAGATCCATCCTCCCAAAAGAACCGCACAGCGTCCAAAAACATAGGTGCTGGCCTATTCTGATTAATCCCTGATCGTTTCTCACCGCCTGGGGGGAAGCGTCCTCCCTCCAACGGCAGGTTCACGAGTGCCCTGATAACAAAAGTCGTAAGGCCTGGGAACCATGATGCGTTCATGCACTTGGAACAGAGGGGCTGCCAGTCCTTCCTCCTGAACTTGGTTCGGAAAAACCGTGATACCGGAGGGAGAGAGAAGGTGAAAGGCATTACGACCACAGGCTGTGAGTAGGCATGTCCACCCAGCGGTGGATCGTCCTATGGTTCTGCGATAATATAATTGACATTGAGCGTTCTCTCGTGTTGCCACACATCAGCAGACGTTGGCAGGATTCTACCGTGTCTGAGCCTTAGCTCTGGGTGGGATACATGCGATGTACCCACTCCAAATGGAGAGCGGATTGGGTGTGCCCCACACAGTATCTGTCTCACAATGTGGCACATGAGTTGAAAAAATGCATACATTTCCTGCTAGTATGTATGCGACAGACACTTGTTGTCTGAGAATCAAAACCCCTGATGATTCTGTAGCTCAAGGTCAGTGTTGAGTCACATTCAAGGATCCCGTGCGACACTCCAAAAAACATTTAAAACAGCTGCTGTGTGGAGCGCAGCGCCCCCACAGCTTGTTAAATGTGTGAGACGTAGGTCTGCTGACAGAAAACAGCTGATATCACTCAACCATTCACGTGAATTGCACTGCTGCCACCTGTCTGAACAAGCTGCTCAGCAGCCACAGGTGTCCAGATAATGCATAATTAAAATGGAGTGTTGTTCTCACAGCTCAGAAAATTAACAATCTCAAATAAATCTCATCTTTCCAGTTCGTTTGGACCAGGAAGTGATAAGAGAAAACTGGTGTTTCCTCTCCATCTGAGGCTCTAGAAATTACATTTAAAACAGAATTTCCAGAGCTTCTGCTAGAGGGGACGAGATCTGTTCATAAATGACAGAAAAAACCTCACAGGGTTCCCCCACACCGGGGTTTAGCTGAACTGCAGCGTGAGTCCCGGATGAAAACGGTTCGCCCATCCCTCTGGGAAACGCGCGTTCATTGCCACCCGTTTATAAGTTATAAAACGAGCACGCATTATGCTGTGAAACTCGCATACATGCTGATGTGAACTGGAGCGCGCTGAGTGAGAGCGCAAGACGTTGTGTATTGCTGCGGGAAAAAACAGCTTTGTTTATGCTGTGTGCAGCTGCACCGTGTAACGCTCGGGAGCAGGTTCACATATGAGCTGACGCGCCCTGAAGGGTTGTGTGTGTGCGTCCTCATGCGACGCTTTACACCAGGATTGCTGCGGGGCGCGCGTTGGCACTGGGTTACCACTGGCTCGGTCTGCAGAACACGTTCATTGTTTGCTGCGAATCACGTGAGCTTAGAATGATTCCACGAGCTGCAATATTAATTCAGACAAAAACCCCTTCTTTGAAGATGTATGAGCTAAGCCGCTGTGAGGCTTGGGGAGCTGCTGACGCCGCGGGAGCGCGCGTTGGCACTGGAGCGGTCAGGAAGCCGTGCGTGGCATCGGTGAAACGAGACTACCACTGACTCGGTCTGCATAAAACACGTTCATTCTTGGCTGCAAGTCATGTGAACTTCAGAATGATTCCACGAGCTGTAGTATTAATTCAGAAAACCTTCTTCGAGGATAAAAGGGGGCAGAGCCGCTGTGAGGCTGTGAAACTGCTAACGCCGCGGGAGCGCGCGTTTGACATCACTGCAATGACAAAACTTGTGTCGTTTCTGCCGATAAGCGAAATACGTTGCTGAGCTCGTACCGTGATCTCACGTGAACGTTGACGTGAACGGCGGTTGTTGAGAGCTGCATGCGCGCCTTCCTGCCGCGGGGGGCGCGCATCGGCATCGCTGACAGTGAATGAAAAACAACCTTAAAAGGCTCATTCGTGATGAGTGTGGGTGATGGGGCCGCTTGTCAGATAACCATGCTGACAGTCTGGCTAAAGGACACTTCATCATAAAATGATGTTATTCGCAGTGTCATCAACACACCTCCAGCCAAAAACGACACCTGTTTACCTTCGTTGAGCTCTGTTTGTTGTCCTGGAGGGCCCCCTGTTGGCGAAGTCCGGGAAAAAAATGAACTTCCGGATGCCGGGGACGTCTGACGGGAGGGGCTGGCGTAGCAGAGCTGGGGAGGCGTAGAGCAGCCGTGGAGCAGCTTGAAATGATCTCTCGCTGATGAAAGGAGGATCACCAGCAAAACTCCTGCGTCTCTCCTGAGAGGAAGGTGGAGTGGCGAGCCAGGAAAAAACCTCTGGACCTCGTTCTCCAGCTGCGCTGTGGGACGGCAGACCGCGAAGAGGCGCACCGGTTGGTGATGACGTCAGCTGCCCAGTAGGCTGAGCGTACTGCAGGGGCCGGCAGCGTCGTTAGCAAGCAGCTGCTACGAGAGAGGGCCACCGTCTCTTCTCGCCTCTGAACGTGTACGCCAACAGCGTAACGTGTTGTTCGCTGCGGCCGTGGAACACATGCTGATGAGCTCAGTTGGAGAGCGATGTCACCGTCTCGGTTATGCTAACGGGAGGCACGGGACGCTGGTCCACCTCGAACATCTTACTCCCATGGAGCCTCCATCAGGCTCGGCTCCAGAGGGCACGGAGGGACTTTCCGCTCAGTGAACCCTGCTCTGGAGATGGGTGCGGACTGTGGAGACCGGCTCCCCCAATCTACCAGGAAAAAACCCGTCTGTGGCCTCGCCGTAGGACGTCCTGTTGGGAACACGAGGCCATATGGATCAAGACGGTGAGCCGGAATGGAGTCAGTAAACAACCTTCCCGCCGGATCATCCGAACTGGCGGGAAAAGGCGTAGGACGTAAAAAGGGGTCCTTTCATGTCAGCCTCCTCCTGGGTTACGCCGGGCAAACCCTGGGGGGCGCCGTCGGCCGGGAGCAGTGTGATCGCCGATGCGAAAAACGAGGTGGGATGGGGTGAGCATTCACTCAGCCCCCCTCCACCGACACTACGCTCCCCAGGAGGGAATGAGCAGCGGGGCTGCAGCTGAGCACGCCTTGTCCCGGAGGAACCATCCGGTTCGCCCCGAGGGTCGGCGATAAGAGGAAAAAATACAAGATGGCGTTGTCCAGCGTGTAGTGACCTGTCACTGGGAAATGTTCCCCGGCGCTTACCTTGGAATAAGACTGCTCGTCATCTTCTCCTCGGGGAGGAGAACTCACCGGACGACCGGAGGTCGACTGCCGGGCCAAGCATCCTTCACAAAGGTTGGTCATTTACACAATTTATCCTCTTTGTTCTTCTGACAGTGCTATTTTTAGCTCGCTGAAGAAAAAATGGGAGCCGATTTCCCGCTCTTAACGTAATTTATACGGACCGGGTGGGGCCCACACAGCAGGTGGGCGTGGACTAAATTTTTTCAGTGCTTATGCTGCGCATAACGGGATAAACCCACTAAAGCGAAGGCCTTAAAGGGCGAAGCTTATACGACATAGAACTGTCAGTTTTGTTTGCCAAGCAGGGTAGAATCAGCTCATCATCATAATATTTGACTGTATTTGTTATTTCAGAGTCATCCATATCAACAGGAATGGCTGGCACACACTGCTAAACTTCCTGTTTCACACAGGACTGACGTTTGGAGTTTTTGCTGGAGGCATCAATCAGATCAACGTCACATTTGTTTGTCAGATTGTAAGTATGCAATGGCTTATTTCTCACACCGGGGTCATTTTATACTGTTTGTATGTCCTGGTCAGTAATGATAGCTTAGCGAATTAAAAGGCTCAATGGTTATTGTTTCAGCACCCAGTGGAAAACATGCCTAAAGGGTCCAGCTACAATATGAATAAATTGTGAAAGAATTTGGTTGTAATTACTGACAGAATCAGTAAAAGAGACAAAATATAACACACATACACCTTGAATCACAATCTTATTGTGGTGTAGAAGTTTGTCTGCCTGAATGATTCTAGGAGTTATATTGTGCCCTACCCTTGGATATCCTTCTGGATCTATTCACTGACACGCACTTTTTAGTAATCTTTTTTTTTTTTTCTGAGTTGAATCAGGGCAGACACTTTAAAGGGGGTGAATATTTATGCAATTTTCTATTTTAAATGACAGTTTATGTAATTTGTATTACTGTGTAACTATTTTATTTCACTTTGATTTTGAAGACATTTTTTTTTATTCTTTAAACAAGACTATGTTGTTGACCGTGATTGGTTTCTGACAGCAGTAAAAGTAAAAACATCCAGGAGTGTGGATATTTTATAGGCATCGTAACAGCTCAACAATGAAGATGGATGAGTTCAGTGTTAATGTGTGTGAGCTGAACTTTGAACTTGTTTACTAGATCGGTCTCATACCTCCTGAACTGAAGTGTAATGTAGTTGCAGTAAGATGAAGTGTATTCAGTGGAATTATAGCTCGTGTTTTAGAAAATTAAGTCTGTTCATTATTTCCTCCATTATTCTGAAAAATCCTAAACTGATCAGCACACTAGCAAAAAACCTTTCTACAAACATTTTTTTTAAATATGTCAGAAAGTTCTAGGCATGCTGCCCTTCTTCACACCAAATATATCTATATGTAGCGCCCGTACCATGTAGCTAAAGAGTTAACCAATAGGATAGATTGAAATGTAGTGCATTGGTCAGGGCCCTGGGAACGTTATTTTAAAGATATCCATACTGACAGCTTACAGGAGATACAACTTACTGTTTATATTTAATTTAATGGCGATACCTCCATTTAGCAGGAAATTATGAATTTATACCTTGTCTGACCCACTAAGAATTTAATTCAGATAACTGTATATGTATGTTAAATACACTCCCTTGGAATACAAAAAGCATTTAAAGTAACTTTCAAATAAGACACTGATGCCTGATTTAAATTTAAAATACACTTTTAGTAAGAAAAAAAAACATGTAAATAAAATAAAAACAAAAACAACTTTTTACAGTACTTTCAATGCCAAAATAACCCGTTGCAGGCCTGAATCGATGCTTGGGTGCATGGGAGCTAAAAACGAATAGCTTGTTCACTCACCAAGCAAAATAAAATAAAAAGCACGTGCATTGGTTTAGTTGCGTACTCACAAATCCTTCAGAGTTGAAGAATGGATCAGGGTGGATGTGGAGATCCCTTTAATATGAATAGTAAAGTAAGTAGGCAGGTGATGACACACGAACAGAGATCCTTACTGGCAGCAACCTCACAGATGGGAATCCAAACAGCTGAATGGGGAACTTCTAACTCGTCCAGCAGGTCCAAAGATTAGCTCCTGGTCCAGTGTACACATTAACAACTCTGTCCATATACAGTACATATTCCTTAGTAAAATACACTGGCTTCTCATATGGAGCCATTAAGAGCTTAACCAGCCGCTAATGTTTGGATTTGCATGTAAATATACAATAACCTGAGCGGCTACATCACGCTAGCTTGCTAAAATGCTAGTTACACTTAGCATGGTTTTCATCTACACACTGCATCATTCTGAAACAGCATAAAACATACAGACAAATTTATTTACCTTTCATATGTTTCTTAAAGTCTGTTACAGTCAGCAACTCTGCATTAACAGTTGTAATGGACAGCTTTACTCTGTTATTGTCCCACGTCTGCGTTGTTGTGCGCTCTGCACTCGTCTGGTTTTCACACAGACCCACGTTTCATGCAGCGTACCATTAATCCCGCCCACTCCCCTCTGCTTAGGCAAAATAAAATGCATACCCAATAAAAAACAAAAGTGAACAAGATTGACACTTAGCACGACTCAAAGAGTAGGTTGTAATCTACCATGTGGCTCCATTCCTCAAACAAACTTTTATGTGACCTTTAAGGAACATAGTAAAATTGACAACTGTCTGTTTTAGTCTGCTTGAACAAGATTTTCTTGACCAAATATGAACAGTTTTTAAAATGATACATTCCTTTTTTTTTTTTTTAGATAAAAAAAAAAAGATACATTTCTAAATGACAAAGGCGTTTTTTATCTTTCATATTTATTCCACTTTCATCACTTAGACATTGTTTTTAAACTTAATTACTATGAATTTAGTTTGTATTATAAAGCACAGTTCAAACTGGGCTGTGTATCATTGTTTTCTGTTTGTTTGTCTCTTTTGTGTTAGGTTGGCATCATTATTCATTATGCTTCTCTGTCAACAATGTTGTGGCTGACATTTACTGTCAGAAACATTTGTAAAGATGTGTCCAAGGATCCACTTCAGGCCCATGATAGGAATGGACTGTCCCAGAAACACTACAAGCCAACCATCCTGAGGTAAACTCACTGCAGGGGCATGCAGAAACAAACAGGGCTAAGTAATATTGTGACTTATGGGGAAATGTTATTAAAGATGACTTCCTATAGTTAAGGTTTTGACTAATCTCAAAGAAATGGATAACTATTGATGATCTCATGTCTAGTCTGACTATAGTCAAGACCCTTTGTGGATTGTTGCCAACATGTTTCAGTTGGGAGCTTCTGTAAGCCTGTTAATATTTGTGTGACGCTAAATTCAAAAAGTAGAAACAAAACAATAAAACAATTTAACTTTTGTTCTGCAGCTGAGGATTCTTCTCATTCAGGACACTTTATCAGTTGAAAAATGTCTGGTGTGTGTGGAGTTCCAAGCTTTATAGAGCTGCATGAGAGGCCTCGTTATGTACAGTAGTCCCTCGCTACTTCGCAGTTTGTTTTTCATGGACTTGATTTATCGCAGTTTTTCAAAATCAGATTGGGCATGACACAAAACTGTCTGATTGATAGATGAACTGTACAATCGGCATGGAATTTTTATTTAAAATAAATTACTTTAAATTATTTAGCACCTGTTGCACCTGTGTGCAGCCCACACTGCAGGAGAAGCTTCCTCCTGCAGCTCCTCCTCCTCCTCCCTCTGTCGATTTCTGTTCTGCAGCAGAGAAGTGGGCGTGAGAGAGAGAGCAGAGTGCAGCTGTGGCAGAGAGCTGAGTTCATGACATGCTGTGCTCTTTTAGAGTGTTTAGAGTTTATAACTATTGTTTACAATATTGTAAGAGTGTGGAAAATGTTGAAAACACACACCCATATCTATATATATATATATATATATATATATATATATATATATAGAATACAACTCATAGTGCTACAATAATCGATAATATTTTCACAAATGTAACAAATGGGGATGTGATTGGAGGTATTTTAACGAGTGATTTGAGTGATCATTTACCAGTTTTCATGATTTATAAAAATGATCAAAGCATTACAAAAGAAATTACAATTAAGGAAAAAACAATAAACACATCAAAAAAAGCAATGGACAAATTAAAAGATGATTTACATAAACAAAGCTGGAAAGACGTGTATGTTGATGATGTGAACAGATCATATGATGAGTTTATGAATATTTTAGGAGCTCTGTATGAAAAGAATTGTGTGCAAAATAATTGTACAAAGAGAAATGTTGTTGACCAACCATGGATGACGAAAGGGTTGAGAAACGCTTGTAAAAAAAAGAATTATTTGTATACATGTTTCTTGAAATTGAGAACACAAGAGGCTGAAGAGAAATATAAGAAGTATAAAAATAAATTAGTAGCGATTATAAGGAAACACAAGAAGGAATATTATAGTGATTTATTAAATAAAAGCAATGGTGATATGAAAGCTACATGGCGAGTAATAAATAGTGTTCTGAAAAGTCATAAAGCAAAAACAGGTATTTCACAATATTTTTTGAAGGATGACGATGAAATCCATGATGAAAATGAAATTGTAAATGGATTTAATCGTCATTTTGTGAACATTGGATCAAGCCTTGCAGCTAAAATACCAAAAGTAGACAATAATGTGAAACATTCAGTTATAAGTTGTGACAACAGTATTTTTCTTAATGGAACTGACAAAGAAGAAATAATGAATGTAGTAAAAAATCTTACAGATAAGAGATCAAAAGACTGGGTGGACATGGATATGATGTTTGTAAAGGACATAATGAGTTATGTTATCGAGCCGTTTACATATATTTGTAATTTATCATTTTCAAAAGGAATATTTCCAGACAATATGAAAGTAGCTAAGGTAGTTCCTCTCTTTAAAAATGGTGATAAATGTGTGTTCAATAATTATAGACCAATATCCTTATTACCACAATTCTCAAAAATTCTAGAAAAACTGTTTGTGACCAGATTAGATAAATTTATTACTAAACAAAACATTCTAAGTAGCAGTCAGTATGGGTTTAGAGCAAAAAACTCTACATCAATGGCTCTCATGGAAATAATGGAACAAATAACTACTGCTGTCGATCAAAAACAGTATTGTGTTAGTATTTTTGTTGATTTAAAAAAAGCATTCGATACTATTGATCACACTATTCTCCTTGAAAAATTAAATAAATATGGTATAAGAGGACCAGCATTACACTGGGTATCTAGCTATTTAAAAGATAGGAAACAGTTTGTACAAATAAATGGTGTAAGATCTGACTTGTGCAATATCACTTGTGGAGTTCCTCAAGGCTCTGTACTTGGACCAAAGTTATTTATTTTATATGTGAATGACTTAGTGAATGTATCAGGACTCCTCAAATGTGTCCTTTTTGCAGATGACACCACATTTTTTTGTTTGGGTAAAGATGTAAAACGGATGTTGGAACTGAAGAAGACAGAATTTGATAAAATACAAACTTGGTTTAAAATTAATAAATTATCATTAAATTTAGATAAAACTAAATACATGATATTTAGTAACAAAAAGAAAACTGTTGATGATCCATTTAAAATTGAGGGTGTTGAGATTTGTAGAGTTAATGAGATGAAATTTTTGGGTGTAATCATTGATGAACAGCTAACATGGAAAAATCACATAAATTCTGTAAGAACAAAAATATCTAAATCTATTGCAGTACTATACAAAGTCAGGGAATTATTAAATGATAAAGCTCTGTACATGTTGTATAACACAATCATTGTTCCACATTTAATCTATTGCATTGATGTTTGGGGGAAAGCGTGTAAAACATTTACAAAACCAATTTTTATTTTACAGAAAAGAGCTGTAAGAATTATCACCAGAAAGCATTACAGTCACCCATCAAGCACATTATTTCATCAACTGAAGTTACTGAAGTTCCATGATTTGGTAGATTACAGTATTTTATCAGTTATGTATAGGGCTCAAAATAACACATTACCATTAAATATCCAAAGAAATTTTGTTAAAAGACAAAGTTGTTACAATCTTAAGGGGATAGAGATATTTGTCAAACCAAAATTCAGAACTAGTCTGAAGGGAAGGTCTACCTCAATCCAAGGAGTTGGATTGTGGAATGTTCTAGAGAGTGATGTGAAAAATGTCAAGTCAATGTGTACATTTAAGAAAAAGATCAAATCTAGATTGTTAAAAAAGTATATATGAAGTAGCTTAGTGTGTGTTTTTTATTAGAATTAGAAAAATTAGAAAGTTATTCATTTTGTTCTGTTACTTGAAAATTAATATGTCTGAAATAATTGTTTGAAAAAAGGGGCAGATATAATAAGATTTTTTCTTCTTTCTGCTGCCTTTCATTTTAAATCTTTTGTATCTTTTTATATATTGTTATGGAATTGTTTTGTACTTTTTTTTAAATGAATAAACTTCATACCATACCATACCATATATATATATATATATATATATATATAT